CTTAGCATCCGCTTCATCAGTCCACTTCCGTATTGGTACTTCCTGTTTGAGTTTTTGCTTGTAAGCAAGAGGATAGAGTTATGGTCAGATTTGCCAAATGGAGGGCGAAGGAGAGCTTTGTATGCGTCTCTGTGTGTGGAGTAAAGGTGATCTAGAGTTTTTTTTGCCTGTAGTTGCACAGGTGGCATGCTGGTAGAAATTAGGTAAGACGTATTTAAGTTTTCCTGCATTAAAATCAACATCCACTAGGAGCGCCGCCTCTGGATGAGCATTTTCTTGTTTGCCTTTGACACTATACAGCTTGTTGAGTGTGGTCTTAGTGCCAGCATCGATTTGTGATGATTTGTGACTCTCTTGGTAAAGGGCGGCAGGGCGGCAGGTAGCTTAGTGGGTAAGAGCGTTGTGCCAGTAACCGAAAGGTCGCTGGTTCTAATCCCCGAGCCGACTAGGTGAAAAATCTGTCGATGTGCCCTTAAGCAAGGCACTTAACCCTAATTGCTCATGTAAGTCGCTCTGGATAAGAGCGTCTGCTAAATGACTAAAAATGTAAAAAAAAATATTCTAACTTAGGCGAGCAGAACCTCAAGACTTCCTTAATATTAGTGATTGCGCACCAGCTGTTGTTAACAAAGAGACATGCTTACCTGATGCTGCCGTTCTGTCCTGCCGATGCATTGAAAAAACAGCTAGAATATTACCATGTTCAGCCAAGAAACATACGATATTACAATTCTTCAGGTCCCGTTGATAGGATAGTCTCGAACGGAGCTCGTCCAGTTTGCTCTCCAGTGATTGTACATTTGCCAATAGAACCAAGGGTAGAGGCGGTTTATTTACTCACCGCCGTAGTTTCATCAGGGTACCTGCCCGTCGGCCTCTATATTGCCGCCTCTGGGATTAGGGCCTGGTCCGCGGTGAGCAGTATGTCCTGGGCCACTGACTCATTGTAATATAATTCTTCATCCAAATCGAGATTAGGGATCGCTGTTCTGATGTCCAGAAGCTCTTTTCGTTCAAATGATGGCAGAAACATTATCTACATTATGATAAAATTGTGCCACAAGTAGGAGTAGTAACATCAATGATGGTAACACCAAGGGCAATTTTAGGTAATTGAGGATTTTCTTAAATGGAGATGACAGATGCTCAAAGTCATTAACCTTAAAAAATAATTTACTAAAGGGATATATTTAATTATTTTGCACACAATGTAATTCCCCTTCATTTAAATTAAGTATCATCAATGACTGTTTTTATTTAGACATACCAAATTATCAATGGAATTCTCAAATTGATGACATACAGTGATGGAAAAAAGTATTTGATCCCATGCTGATTTTGTATGTTTGCCCACTGAAAAAGAAATTATCAGTCTATAATTTTAATGGTAGGTTTATTTGAACAGTGAGAGACAGAATAACAAACAAAAAATTGAGAAAAATGCATGTCAAAAATGTTATAAATTGATTTGCATTTTAATGAGGGAAAGTATTTGACCCCCTCTCAATCAGAAAGATTTCTGGCTCCCAGGTGTCTTTTATACAGGTAATGAGCTGAGATTAGGAGCACACTCTTAAAGGGAGTGCTCCTAATCTCAGCGTGTTACCTGTATAAAAAGACACCTGTCCACAGAAGCAATCAATCAATCAGATTCCAAACTCTCCACCATGGCCAAGACCAAAGAGCTCTCCAAGGATGTCAGGGACAAGATTGTAGACCTACACAAGGCTGGAATGGGCTACAAGACCATCGCCAAGCAGTTTGGTGAGAAGGTGACAACAGTTGGTGTGATTATTCGCAAATGGAAGAAACACAAAAGAACTGTCAATCTCCCTCGGCCTGGGGCTCCATGCAAGATCTCACCTCGTGGAGTTGCAATGATCATGAGAACGGTGAGGAATCAGCCCAGAACTACATGGGAGGATCTTGTCAATGATCTCAAGGCAGCTGGGACCATAGTCACCAAGAAAACAATTGGCAACACACTACGCCGTGAAGGACTGAAATCCTGCAGCGCCCGCAAGGTCCCCCTGCTCAAGAAAGCACATATAACTGCCCGTCTGAAATTTGCCAATGAACATCTGAATGATTCAGAGGAGAACTGGGTGAAAGTGTTGTGGACAGATGAGACCAAAATGGGGCTCTTTGGCATCAACTCAACTCGCCGTGTTTGGAGGAGGAGGAATGCTGCCTATGACCCCAAGAACACCATCCCCACCGTCAAACATGGAGGTGGAAACATTATGCTTTGGGGGTGTTTTTCTGCTAAGGGGACAGGACAACTTCACCGCATCAAAGGGATGATGGATGGGGCCATGTACCGTCAAATCTTGGGAGAGAACCTCCTTCCCTCAGCCAGGGCATTGAAAATGGGTCGTGGATGGGTATTCCAGCATGACAATGACCCAAAACACACGGCCAAGGCAACAAAGGAGTGGCTCAAGAAGAAGCTTATTAAGGTCCTGGAGTGGCCTAGCCAGTCTCCAGACCTTAATCCCATAGAAAATCTGTGGAGGGAGCTGAAGGTTCGAGTTGCCAAACGTCAGCCTCAAAACCTTAATGACTTGGAGAAGATCTGCAAAGAGGAGTGGGACAAAAATCCCTCCTGAGATGTGTGCAAACCTGGTGGCCAACTACAAGAAACGTCTGACCTCTGTAATTGCCAACAAGGGTTTTACCACCAAGTACTAAGTCATGTTTTGCAGAGGAGTCAAATACTTATTTCCCTCATTAAAATGCAAATCAATTTATAACATTTTTGACATGCGTTTTTCTGGATTTTTTTGTTGATTTTTTGTCTCTCACTATTCAAATAAACCTACCATTAAAATTATAGACTGATAATTTCTTTGTCAGCGGGCAAACGTACAAAATCAGCAGAGGATCAAATACTTTTTTCCCTCACTGTACTAATTATTATAGACCCCTTCCCAGGTAACAGTTTGCCACTGGAGGGAATACCGAAGGTCTGTGTATATCTTTGTAATGAATTATTTTCAAGGCGGTAACACCAATGACATCAAACTATTTTATTTGTAAAAAATCATTGGTATTTTAATAGCTTTATTTGTTTTTGTGTATTTATACAGTATATTAAAGGTAGACTCAGACATAGATGCAGGAAGTAAACAGAATAGTGGGTTAATTTCCGCAACAAGTAAGAGCGTTGAGGTGCGAGGCTCAACTTCTCCACTGTTTTGTTGCCCTGGCTACCACGCTGTGAACAGTGTGAAGTGAACCTGTGCACATGCACAGATACTGTGTGTGACTGTTACATCTCGCTCATCTCAATATCTGCTGTGCTGCTCTAAATAGTTTTGTTTACTTTCAAGCGTTCAATAATAGATAGATATCTCTAAATCCCCAAAACATGTCACTAAAACTCTACTCAACATTAATGGGTCAAGCTATTTTGCTTGCCCTTAGTACTTTATAAAGTGCATAACTGTCCAGTGAAAATTGCACTTTAAAAGTTCATATTCTGTTAACCCAAATAATGTTGTTGACAAAACACTTCAAAACACCACCTCAAACGTATATCTCCAACCGACCGTTTCAAAAAACCATTATATTTCCTTATAGAGGATGATGTCATCCTCCTGAGGAGGATGAGCTGGCCAATCAGCGGTCTGCTCGCATTAATATTTTTAATGACCGGTATACGCCAACACCATTTTCTTGTTGGGGTAAACCACACCATTCCAACACATAAAAGCTGTTTTTTAACTAAATTAATTAACAATTTTGGAAGGAAAACTATTTCACTCATATTGTAATTCATTATAGGTCATATTTAATAGAAATCTGGAAACACTGGACAGTTACTTTAAGGTGAAGTTTTGCAGTATGAAGGACTTGCATTATGTTTTATCATTGATAAACAGTTCAATATAAACAAACACATGTGTGATGTGTAACTGTCATTTTAAAGTGTTTTTCATTGTTGCAAAGCCGAGTGATGTTAATGCCACTACAATTCAAGAATGACCTGTGTGTGTGCGTGTGTGTGCGCGTGTGTGCGTGTGCATGTTTGCGTGCGTCCTTTTTTGGGTGCATGTGTATATGTGTCAATGCTTGCATGTGTGTGTGTGTATGTTTCTTTGTTTGTGGTGGTGGGTTGATAGGGTGGTTGGGGTTAGTGGCATACAGAAGTCATCGGAGAATCCCTCACATGCGGTATTCTCTCCTCTGGATGACTGACTAAGTGTTATGGCTTATTGGGAGGCTTCCTTTGGCTTTGTTGGCTTTATCATTGGACGGGCCTGTTGCTCAGCGATAATGTTTCCGGATGTTTTCTGGTGTGTCCGTGCCATGCGTCTCTCAGCCGTCCGTGCAGAGCGGCGCTGCCAACCAATTACCGTACATAAATAACTAAGTGCTCCATTGATTGGCCGGTGTGACAGGGAGCCAAAGTGCCTGCGAACTTCACTGAACTCTGCTTTAGACATGCCCGTGGCTTGGCAAAGCACTGACGTCACCTTATTTTATTGACATTTGGTTGGCCTTAAGGGGATGATCTTGATGGTGCCCTTTATTTTGTTGATGAAACAGCAGAATTTAGTTGGAGATGGAAAGAGTTGGAGAGAGACACAATCATGTTTTTGGCCTTTTGACCCTTACCTTGGTAGAAACTTGGAGACTTTGGAGACAGCCACTTACGACATTCTCTCTCTGTCTATCTTGTTCTCTGTCTCCTTCCCGTTCTTTCTTTCTTTCTTTCTTTCTTTCTTTCTTTCTTTCTTTCTTTCTTTCTTTCTTTCTTTCTTTCTTTCTTTCTTTCTTTCTTTCTTTCTTTCTTTCTTTCTATTCTCTCTCTCTCTCTCTCTTTCTCGCGCTCTCTCTCTCTCGCGCTCTCTCTCTCTCTCTTTCTCTCACACACACACATACAAACACACACACACACACATACACACACACACACACACTGACCTTTATGTGTCACCATTCCCAATTACCACAAGACAGGAACATGTCAGTTACATCGCCAAGCATACTCACTCATGATCATCAGACCATCACTGCCCGACTCTTCCTGTGGCGGAGGTGAGAAACTTGAGCCCCCCGTGTGTGACTGTGATGATGCTGGGGGGTACGTCATTAGGAGGGAGAAGGGAGACACGTAGAGGTGTAGGAACAGACATCCTGGAGCCTGGATGACTCAAGAGTGTCACAGAAGGGCAACGTACAGAAAATAATTGCAATTTTCTCACCTGTTATCTTTCGCAGGCGTTCAAGAGTGCCACCATGAGCTCATACTGGTGCGCAGGCAAGGGCGATGTCATCGACAACTGGTGTCGCTGTGACCTGAGTGCCTTCAGCAAAGACGGCCTTCCCAACTGCAGTCCCCTGAGGAAGCCTGTGTAAGTCAGAGCCTACCTCGTGTCTATCCAACCCTAGAACTGTTGGAGTTGTAACCACCATCCCTAGGGCTGGGACCAACCTTTAATTGCTGTCAGTCGTTCCTAACACCCCCGGTGCTCACTCCCATGAAAGAACATTGTGTCTTGTTCTCTTACCCCAGCTTTGTTGTGAGTCATCATACACCCCAGCTATTGTAACCCTCAGAACTTTTGGAGAGAGATACAAGGCACTGAATAGACAATGGCCCACATTACATTTCATGGACCTACTTGCTTGTTTGATTTGTCGAATGGATACATTGAGGATTCCAGTTTCTCCAACACATATTAAGCCTAGTACTGGACTAAAAAACTATTTCAACTGAGATTCTCTATTGCTTTTTAGTCCAGGAGTAAGCTTAATGTGCCCGGGAAACTAGTCCTCAGTGTCAGTTGACATCTTATATTGTTTTTGTATTAAAGTGACCCACCTCCCCTCCTCTCTCTCTCTCTGTCTCAGGCTCAGACTGGCCCCTCACCTGGAACCCTCCAGCACCATGGTGGCCCTGGAGTGGCTGGATGTGGAGCCCCTGATTGGCTACAAGATCTCTGATTACATCATCCAGCACAAGCGGGTGGAGGACCCTTCGGAGGCAGAGATCTACACAGGTAGGTAGGCCGCTGGTGGCTGCATATGTGACACATGATAAATATGATAAACTTATGGTTCCACCAACCTTACAGTATATTTCACAGTTATTGACAGTTGTTTATCCTATAACAGCCATAGGGACACTAATGAGTTGATTTACTAGTGACCAGCCACATTATCTAACTGGTTGCTATGCTGATCTGTGGAGGCCTGCCCTTTGTGATTATCTCACAGACAAGGTTAGACACTCGGTGGGCGAACCTGAGGGAAGAACGGATCAAGAGGATGAGGACAGGAAAGGATGAGGCAAGGAAATTTGACAGGAGCCATAATTGGCACTGACCCCTAAGTCTATAAGTCTGGGGGAGTGAGTCAGAGCTTTGGGTGGTAGCGATTTAATAAAGGAGAAGAGCGGTGGAAGTCGGCTTTAGTCATCGGCCACGCGTGTGGCAGGAAAAGGGCAATTGGCGTGTGTCTGACTCACCTCAGTTTCAGAACAGTCCAGGATACAGATGAGAAGACAATTTATCTCTTGATTCTACAGTATGTCTCTTTCACTTCCTCTGTTACTCTCTCTCTCTCCCTCTCCCTCTCCCTCTCCCTCTCTCTCTCTCTCTCTCTCTCTATCTCTCTATCTCTCTCTCTCTCTCTCTCTCTCTCTCTCTCTCTCTCTCTCTCTCTCTCTCTCTTTCTGTCTCTCTCTCTCTAACTCTTACTCAACTTCCTCCAGAAAGCAGAGAAAAGTTGGACTGACATTAACTTGTCTGTAGTAAAAAAAATTGTTTTATTGCTTTAATGTGTGGATAAAAAATTTCAGGGTTCCCTGAAACACGTGGCGGTGACAACAAAGGATTTCAGTGTTTGGCGAGTCTTCAATTCCCAGCTATCATCTTAGTGTGTGTAATCAAGGGGAGAGAAGCATTGGCATGGCATCTCTCATGTTCTCTCTATTGGAAACATCCTCTGGATCATCTATCATAAACCATAAAAACAACCGTCTGAGTGGCTCCCAGTTTTACAGGAGAGATGGAATCAAACCCTCTATTGTTCTCCAAACTGGGTGGATCAGCCGTGCTGATACAAAGTTGGACGTCGTCGGAGAGGGGGATTTATGGAATAATGGGGACTTATTCTCTCCAAGACTTGGGAAAAGGAGACTGTCTGCCAAGCAAGTGATACCCTAACCTGAATAGGGGAAAGACAACAAGTGTCAGCGAGTTCAGATGCTGCGACAGCAACACAAACCAGGACTAGTATGTTTTCTTTTCTCTGCCCACGACGAATCGTTTGATTTTAAGACCTTGCATTGAAGCCCTTTCTAGGGGAATAGAAAATGTAGTTTTATTTTAAAAACAGAACCGGGATAGATATGAACAGCAGGTATTGAACTTTAGCCCCAGTCCCTGATCACCTGGAGGCTTTAAACCACAGATGAGACTTCCACCGAGAAGCACTTGACGATCAAAAGCAGGCAGCTCTGATCTGGGCCACACACCAGCTTTCATACACCTGCCAAGTCATTGAGTGCTCTTCAAAACTGGAGTCAGTTTAATACCTCATATATCTGAAGTTTTGTTGCAGGTATGAGACCCTCCAGTAGTTAAATCCATTGGAAACTAAATGGCTTTTCCATTAAAAAAGATACCTACAGTACCAGTCAAAAGTTTGGACACACCTACTCATTCAAGGGTTTTTCTTAATTTTTACTATTATCTACATTGTAGAATAATAGTGAAGACATAAAAAACTATGAAGTAACACATATGGAATCATGTAGTAATCAAGCCTTCAGATCCCTGGCTGGCCATCAGTCACCCTTGTTTCTCCACAGGTAAGGGCATGAGGACCAGGCTCAGACCCTGAAGAAAAGCCTCAGAGCCCCCTAGCCTTGTACGTCAATAAGCACCCAAATCCCCCTTCCTCTCTTATTGTTTACCTCTTCTCTTAGATATGTCCTTTATTAGATGAACATGATTTATTCTTCCCCTGCTGTTGTGTTTTGAATGGCAGGCAGTGCCATGACCTATTGGCTTTGTTAATGTAAACGTGGCAGTGAAGTTAAAGGTAGGTAGGCCTTGATCATTACCTAACCCAAACAGAAGCAGTCTGGGTATTAATACTGGTTTGTTGTGGTATTGGGTTACCCCCCATGTATCTTTGCATGATGGTAACAGATGCTAGCCAGCATTAGCAACTTTAATTATGTTAGTAACTGTGTTCGGATTCCGTTTTCTTTGAGATGCGAGCAATAACTTTGACTTTGGACCCTCGTATTGGGTTTCTCGTTGTGTTACGTCCATATGGCCCATGGAGGACAGAGAATTGGAGAAGAGTGTGGTAAGAGAAGGTGATGTTTGTCCTCTCTGTGCTCCTTGGAAAAGGAGCACATCACTTGTCAATAGAGGAAATCTCTCCCCCTCGTCTTGAAAGCCTCCCATTTCCACACTGTAAAGCTGGGGACTTCCTCCTCACAGGCACAGCCGACAGGTACATGGTCGGGATCAGCCTTGTTAACTCGGCCTGATCTCAGCCACGCTGGAAACCGCTTCATCACCATAAAACCCAGAACGCGATCTGAACTCCAGCCCGCCATTTAGCAGCATGGAATCTAAGAGAACTAAGAACTTTGAGTCCACATGCTACAGTACATTGGGCCTGGGCTCAACTAATTAGTTATCTAGATGTTAGAATTTAGAGCACTGTTAGTCTGGTGTTTTAGCCTGAATCCCTCTGCTGTGACCTTTAACCCTCAATGCAAGTCAGACAGGAAGCGTCTGTTCCAGAATCTCAGCTGAGGTATTACTGGAGTTATGTGCCTTCCCAAAAAAAGGGACAGCTAAGTCTTTAAAAGAGGAACTTGGAGCGTCAACTCGTAACACTGTGGACTGGCAAAACACCCTCCTCCCCTTTCTTCCCTCCAGCCCCTGCCCACTCTCCCTACATATTGTTGTGATATCGGTGCAACTTTCACAACAAACCCCAGGCTATTGGACTGGCTGCCCGCAAATATGTTTTGCATTTACTAATCAAACTGAGGAGAATGTTTAGCTTTGGAGCTGACCAACGCTGGGGAAAAGCACAATGTTCTCCTACCACCATCTATAAACAGCAATTTATTGTGTTGTGTTGGGTTGTTGGTTTGTTTTTTGTTTTAAAATAACTGGTACCTACATTAGGGGGCAGGCTTACTAGAAGTGTGGGTAGAGAGTACTTGATGTGTTTTTCTCCTGTCCTCCTCTCCATTACTCTTTCTTTCTCTCCCTCTTTTTCTATACGCTTTGGGCCCAGGAAGCGCAGCTCCTCTTTGATATAGTGCTGCTTTATGATCCCAGCCAAAGGCTTTGTGGGTTCATGCAAGTCAATATTTATTGTTTGAGGGACTTATTAAATTCATGTTGGTATATTTTACTATAGCGAACGTCTAAATATTTGTAGGAATGCACCAATGGCCTTTGGCTACACTTTGGAGTCCCCACCTCCCCAAGCATACAGAGAGAGAGAGAGAACACGACAGTCTGGAGCTAGTATGTCTGTTATGCAGGAAGCTAGCCCAAAGACAGGAGAGGAAGGGGGACTGTCACTCCAATGGCACACCAATCTAGAAACGTCTGGAGCAGTAAGGGGAGAAACTGACATAATTCATATTCTATTATGTATCAGTTACAGTATATTTATTTAAGCAGTGTTAGATTCCGTATGTGTTGGTGTTATTTTCCGTTACATCAGAGGTGGATGATCATTCAGTTCTGTAGAGACCTCTAGATGGCACACCAATGCAGTGGCAGGATATCTATTAGATTACATTATCTAAAGAGACAGCCACTCTGTCTGAAGCGATTCATAGTGGGGTAGTAGGATTGACACAGCAGGGCTCAGCATTCCCATACTGTTGGTGAAACTTTGTGAAACGTTTTGACTTCTGAGGTGGAGACGTTAAGTAGCACAAAATACTGTAGCTATTGTAAAGACATTATATAGATGTCATGTAAATCACTTAAAGTGGACAGAACGTTTCTGTAATAATTAGTAGTACCTACATATGAAAGAAATAATAAAAAAACAGCAACAATTCATTCCTTTGTTTTGGATGAGCCTTCGAAAATAAGTGAATGTATGTTTTGAATTTTATCCACTGTGTACCCTCAGTTACTGATATTGATGTATCTACCTTTCACTTCAATGGCATAGTTCAACTAAAACCTATCTACCTATTTCTCCTTTATCCTCCATTTATCAATACTGTGCTGAAGCATTTTGGATGCGTCATTTCAGCAATGGCCCATCTTATTACAAAGTAGGTCTTTCCCTGTCATTCTGGGTATTGAGAATCCCTATGCTATTTCTAGGATTCCCTTAAGCCTTCATTGTTGCACTTCCAGGCTCAGCATGGCTCTGTCTCTCCTCACTGGCTACCTGTCCTGACATCACACCCAGGTTAAGGTGACACGCTGACACATTCATGTGAATGCCCTCAAGAAAGGGAGAAAGAGAACTATCTCGTATATCGACTCGAGAGAGAAGGCAGAGCGTCTCGAGCGCTATCTCATCGTTCTCATCTCTATATCTCCCCGCTATCTCTCTATATATCTCTTCTTCTCTCGCTCTCTCGCTCTCTCTCTCTCTCTCTCTCTCTCTCTCTCTCTCTCTCTCTCTCTCTCTCTCTTCTCTCTCTCTCTCTCTCCATTTCTCTCTCTCTCTCGCTCTCTCACATTCCTAGTAGAAAACTTGGGAGTCTATTTCTGTCCCAACACTGCTGTTTGACACATGATTTAACGGTGCAGCGAGCAGAGGGGAGGAGGGGGATAGAGAATAGAAGAGTAACGGAGAGGAGAGGATGGAAGAGAAAGGGGAGATGGAAGGGAGAAGATGGGAGAGGAGAGAGTAGTGGAGGGACGAAAAGGGTAAATGAGAGGAGAGAAGAGGAGGGAAGAAGAGGAGTGGAGGATGCAGGAGCTAGAGGAGACTAGAAAAGAGGAGGGTGCAGTACAGGAGAAGATGGCGTTACGATGATGTCATCTCACACGG